TCTGTGTATTCTTGCCACCTCTTCTTGATGTCTTCTGCTTCTGTGAGGTTCCCTATCATTTTTGTCCTTTATCATGTCCATCTTTGCACAAAATGTTCCTTTAATATCTCCAACTTTCTTGAACAGATATCTGATTTTCCCCTTTCTATTATTTTCCTCTATTTCTTTGCATTGTTCATTTAAGAAGGCCCTCTTGTCTCTCCTTGCTATTTTTTGGAAGTCACCATTCAATTTTCTGTAACTTTCCCTATCTCCCTTGCATTTTGTTTCCCTTCTCTTCTCTGCTATTTGTAAGGCCTCATTGGACAGCCACTTTGCTTTCTTGCATTTCCTTTTCTTTGGGATGGTTTTTGTTGCTGCCTCCTGTACAATGTTATCAGCCTCCATCCATAGTTCTTCAAGGGTTCTGTCCACCAAATCTAGTTCCTTAAATCTGTTCTTCACTTCCACTGTGTATTCATAAGGGATTTGGTTTAGATTATACCTGACTAGCCCAGGGATTTTTCCTATTTTCTTCAGTTTACGTTTGAATTTTGCTGTAAGAAGCTGATGATCAGAGCCACAATCAGCTCCAGGTCTTGTTTTTGCTGACTGTATAGAGCTTCTCCATCTTTGGCTGCAGAGAAGATAATCAATCTGATTTTGGTATTGCCCATCTGGTGATGTCCATGTAAAGAGTTGCCTCTTGTGTTGTTGGAAAAGAGTGTTTGTGATGACCAGTTTGTTCTCTTGACTAAACTCTATTAGCCTTTGCCCTGCTTTGTTTTGAACTCCAAGGCCAAACTCACCTGTTGTTCCTTTTATCTCTTGACTCCCTTTAGCATTCCAATCCTCTATAATGAGAAGACCATCTTGTTAGGTCTTTAAGAAGATTAAATGTAATTAATAATTGGTTAGTACAGGTGGATTTATTTAGTCACTGCCTATGTGACAAGAAGGTCACAGCCATGTGGAATTAACTACCATGTGACCCACTAATTTGATTGGTGGGAGATAGTATAAATTAAATGGCTGGTTAGTGTGCCCTTCACAGTTCTATTTTGACTGTCGTGCTTATGTTCTTTCCGTTTGACTGCTGAATGCCTATGTTTATGTTCTTGTGAGCACTATGTAAATATGTACAGCAAATAAATATTCTCTGCACTTATTCCTGGTGTCTTCCCATGTGCCTTACTATGCTGGAGCTTGTGGTCCAAATCTTCATGAGGAGAAAATCTTCTGCTGTGATTTTAAATGCTAGTACATCTTTCTTTGGAGTCAGTTCTAGAAGGTGTTGTAAGT